GATCAGATCTTTTATATCTATCTAAACAACAGATACAGAAAGAGAAAGCAGACTCAAAAAACCGAAAAGAAATATTTTTTCTTCTATGATCCATAATCTGCAGTTGAAGACGAAGAAATCTCCAAGAAACGTGGATGCTTATGAGCCCTCTGATTAGGGTTTCTCATCTCCGACCCCAATCAGACATGCTATTCCCAAATTTTCACCTTCTGGTATGCTCTCTCTCTCTCTCTCTCACACACACACACACACACACCCCTCTGATACATGTCTACTTTTGGTGAAAGGAGTCATGTCTGTTTTTCTTATTCTGTGAGTTAATTTGTTCACTTTTTTTATCTGATTTAGCAAGAATCTGTTTGATAACCTTTAATTAATTGAACTAATTGATCTTAACTGCATGCAGGTCCAATGCTCTTATTGTAGTCCATTATAGATCGTAAACAAGCATCGAATCAAGAAGATTCACAAGCTTCAAAAGGTCATAGACAAAATGATTTATGATTTGTGTTGCCAAATATTCTTTAGTTAACCTTTCATTCTTATGTTACTACAATTTTTGGTTTTGTCACTGTTGATTGTGTGCATTTATGTCTAAGGTTTCCGAGTTTCTCTTTCGGTGATGCTGATCGAACATCTCGGTCTTTGGATAATGCTATTTAAAAATTAAATTCTTATGTGGCTGTTTGATGTTCTTGATAGTTTATTTGATGACTTTCGTTAAAACTACCCTATTGGATGGCAACTATATTTCGAATGATTTCTTTTTATTTATGTGATCTTTTAATTCCAATATTTCCTTTTTCTTGATTATCTTTTATGGAATTGATTTGCTTTTTAATTTATGTGTGAATACACGTGTTGCATGTAAATTGGTTAAATCCTACCAATTTAATTATTGTGGTCTAACGATTAGTGAGTCATGATTATTGTTTTTTTTTTGTTTGAAATATGTATGTGAAAATTTTGGGTAATATTAATATAGGAGCAAAATCAATGATGAACCTAGAGGAAACATCAAAGAGGCGGCCTTTTTTCACTTCGCCGGATAAATTTTTCGACGAAGACTATTATGATGAACAATTCGGAAAAAGAAGCACGTCTCACTCTTGAACAGGTGTGGACTATTTACCCACTTTACACGGTGCTTGATTCGATAATACGTGGTAATTAAGAGAAGGAATAAAAGATGCCTAAATGCGTTATCAGCAAAGAATTGATGATATGGTAAGGATGCAATGGAAGGATTTTGTATATACTTGTTTAGTGGTTTTATTGACTTTTACATAAATTTTGATCACTATAATTTGTTGTTTTTGAGATCCACACATTGGATAGAGGAATTATGAGTGTTTAGTGATACAGATTCATGCGGGCTATTGAAATTGTTATCTAACGCATACAAATATATTAATTTTTTTTTGTTATTTCGTGCCTTTATGCACTGGCGATTACTAGTCTATATTTATATAATAAAGTAGTTAAATTGATTTGTCTTGAGCTTTTCGCGGCTCAGATCATTTTTAGGTTTATCATCCGACGATCCTAATTAATCTACATTCCTACAAGACTCTACTACATTCCTTTTATCTCTCCTCATCCCCATTCAAACCATTGGAGAGATATCTGTATCCTTACAGGACTCTACTACATTCTTTTTTATCTCTCCTCATTACCATTCAAACCATGGGAGAGATTGGTTTGGACAATTATATTTATATATATATATATATATATATTAGTTGATGCACAAGTGCATTGCACGTGAACCATTTATGAGTCTTGGTTCTTCTTGTCCCTGATTAGTGTTTTATAATAATCAAGAGATAGCAAATAGTTTCAAACTAATTAAGGAAAAAACATATGCCGAAGGAAAGCTGAAAAATAAAAAGTGAAAGGTGAAGATAATATAAATACAAATCTTAATGGAAATTATGCTAAAATTAAACCCTCAATGAACCATAAAGGACCCAAAACAACCCATCTCTTAACTGCCACCAAAGGCCAACCCCAAACACATTATCTAAACAAAACTTCAAAACATTGACTCTAAATCTGATTTGTTTGAACACTAACAAACAACCCAAAATAACATCCCAGACGTAATTAATGCTGTGCAGGTGTAACCAAAAACATGCACTGATAAAAAATGTTTGATGTGCTAATGCTAGGAGCTAGAGGTAAATCCAAAAAGATAAATAGAAATTGGGATGACAATGACAAATAATGAAAAAAGAGAAAAGAATGATGAAAAATATTAGCTCATTTGCTTACCCACGGTATATTTGTAATTATCATAATGTATGTAAGTGAAACAAAACATAGGACATAATTAGATTGAACATTTAAGGGATGGAAATTGGCTCAGTTTCCAAAGTGATAGGGTGCATGAACAGACAATGATACAAATGAGTTATTCATCATCTCATATTCAAGCAAAAAAGCAGCATCCATGGAAATACCCTCCCCTTCTATGTAGCAAGTTGCCAAAGTATAGTCTTTTACATTGTCCAAAGAAAAAATTGTACATATTGATAGTGGCCTCAATAAGTATCCACTTTATTATAGATAGTGCTTCAGAGAAAATCAACCCATAAACTACACCATGTTGCTATGTTATTAGAAGAAACTTGAATATTAGAGTAGTGATGTCATTTACTTTAGGACTATAAAAGCACATAAACAGGTCAAGTAGTCCAACAATCTGCAATCTCAATCATTCTGTATAATTAAGTCACGATAAACAACTTAAAATAATAGGAAGAATAAAAAATATTTTTTCCAAAACATATCCATCAAATGGTATCTTATTCTTCCTAAATAGACACGTTTATTTCTCATAAAAGTTACACTAAGCTTTCACCATGACCACCCAACAATCACCTCCAAGCTTTCAAGAATCCTCAAAACACTGCTGCAGAGAATGTTCTTTTATAATCATACCAAGACAAACCACAAAATTTCTAAATCCAATAAAAAAATTTCAAAATAGATTTTGGACTTTAGAGGGAAAATCTAATGTTTATTATGCACTTAAATATTGAGATTGCTCATCCTTTGTCATAACACTTATGCACGATGGATTTATAGACTTCTTATTTCTTATTCATCTAAACCAAATAGTAACATGCAAGGTACATCATTTAAACTCGCTTACGAAATACCTAGGATTTTTTTTTTTTTTTGCATATAACAGATAAAATCAGTTCACCAATAGAGAAGAATAATTAAAAAAAATATACATAGAAACAGAGAGCTAATTGAACAGCTGGAACTATAATAATGTTACTCGTGGAGAGGATAAACCAATGTTTGCTACATGTGAGTGCACTAGGATGCTCTAAGTGAAGCTTAGAAAATATGGTTGGGTTATGCTTGCAAAATCTAAGGGAAGCTTCTAAATTATGGATAAGTTATGGAAAGGGATAGAATTGGCTTGTCTTAAGAAATGATTGGCTATATCAATTTTGAAAAGCTGGTTGTTAGAATAATTAAGACAAAAATTAGATGATTTTAGGTGTTGAGTTAAAGGACAAAACAATCCTAAAGGCTAATGGTTAATTAGCCCATGGTGGTTTTGGTGCCCAAAACAGGGCTAGAGTGGTAATAGAAAAGAATAAAAAATGAACGTCTTGGAATCTCATAAAAAATTCCCAAGGACTCACATGCTAAGGTTAGGTGCATTCATTAGATTGAAGCTTACTTAGAAACTAAGAAACATATAGGCTGTTGGACTTCTCATAGTTATGAGTGTTGCTTATAGTGTGCTTATATAGTTCATTTCAGCAAATTATCATTTATAACGATCCTATTCTGAAAGCCAAATGTGGTAGAAGAAACTTTTAAGCCATTCCAAGTAGCTAATATTTTTGAGTCCTAGAAACCAAAATATTGTCTTGACATAGATAATCTATAATTGTCAGAGGCATCTTACTATTGATAATAAAAAAGTGATATTGTTTTTTATGGTGCAATGATAAAAAAAAATGGGGTTAACAATTTCGAGGTAGTGAACTCAAAATTGAGATAGCTACTTTATACCAATAAGGGCAAACTATGATTAAACTCAAGTATAAACCCAGGTCATCATTCTGGCACCTCTTATTAAGGCACTAAGCTGAATAACCACCTTTATGATCCTTTATTAATTATAAGAAGCATAAAAATCAACAGTCAACAATATACTGTCCACACATCTGTATATCCTATAGCCCAGATACATATGTAACTTGATCTACATGAACACCATATATAATACAAATAATTTAGAAGCTTACAACCTTCAAACAATCTAGTTAATCAAAGAATCCTCCGGACGCATCAACCATGCTGCAAATCATGTTACCAATAAAGATCACAAATATTTGATGTAACTCATCACAATTTTTCTTAGGTAATGGTGATGAATCAATTATCAAGTGTGCTACCAATTGGTTAAGAGAAAGCCTAAGAGATGACCGCAAAACAATTCATTGAGCACTTGGCAGGATCATACAATCCATCCTCCAATTGCTACATCCTAAAAGACAATCAAATTGGATAGAACTAATAAACTTGAATGCGACAAGTTATCAAAAGATAGCTACTTGTACATGAAATTAGAAAATGCCACAAATCTTGACACTACTAATATGAATCAACAACTATCATACTTTTTTTATTTTTATTTAGTTGAAAAAAAAAGAAAAATAATTTCTCTAAACTGGCATATATATAGAACGAAAAAGCATGAATACAAAGGAATCATTAATTGGATAGGAAAGAGAGATCATCACTTGTTTAAGCAATCTGTTGGTTTGGTAACACACAAACAGAGAGTGAGCGTCCGAGAACCATCTTTGTGAGGTAATTTTGGACATGTAGAAAGAGGAGCTTGAAGCTAGAGGTGTAGGAACCACATAGTACTTCACTATGATGTTTCTATGGAATTGCCTTAACTTATGGTTATTTTTTGATATATTTGCTTGCTGTTTTCAGTCTATTGAGAATACGTGGACACCATGATGACTACGGCTAGACCCACATGGGCACTTGCTAAAGGTGGTAACGAACAATGTGGTACTCGAATTTTTGGCCCACCTCAGAAATATTGTTCAAGGGACAGTGCATCTCACACAACCCTAAAGCCAAGGTTAGAACTAGGGAACTCTATGGAATTTCGAGTATGCTATTTTGTTCCAATTCGCAAAACTTCGTTTTGATTTTAAACTTGCTACTACAGGAAGGAAGGGCGAGACACCCATGAGGAACTGCAGAGGAGGAATCTCCGTGAGAAGTTGCAGGATCATGAGAGGAGGCATTTCTCTTCAAAGGATAAGGCGTTTATGGGTAAATGAGTTTTTGGTGATTGCCTTTTGTCACCCATCGTTTCTTTCATTCATTTGATTCCATGTCATGACATTAGTAATTTGTCTTTGTCTAAACTTGTATGTGTATTTTTGCAGAAGACAGAGACCACCGGAGGAAGGGAGGCCATCTTTTACTGGAAGGTGAAACTACTCATTTTTTGAATGAATGGCTAAAATAGAACACTTTATACAACATATTTATACGGCTATTTTCAGTCAACTAACTCCATAGTCAATTTACTGGGACAAAGAGGGAGGTTGAAGATCGCATCATTGATGTGCACATCAAAAGTGGCGATGAGAGGTTTTTACTCTTGGCAACTATATTTATTTTGATCATGTCAATGTTAATGATGGTTAATATGCCACTGGATTAATTCAATGATCAAAACACATAATACACGGCTCTTTGCAAGTTTTGGCCTATGCTTGGTTATCAATCAATTTTTGTACTGCGAATTTGCTAAAAGCATCTTCGTGGTTCTTTTTTTCTTTTCTCATTTGTCATTAAAAATGTGTGGGGGCCGTGGGGTATAACAGTACAAAAGAATAACATCATTTTCGACGCTTTCATAAAAATGTATATATGCCCCTCAATCTCTCTCTCTCTGCCCCTCACCCCCTCTCTTCTCTCACAGTATGAGTGTAAAAATAGTAGGCTGAGTAACATACCTATTGTTAACATAGCTAATTTTTATTTTCATTGTGCTTTTTGCAGAACATGCTTGAGCAAAGCAATTCTAGAACCTGCATTTGGAACATTGCCTTAATAGTTGTTGAAAAACAATTTAAAAATGTTGCAGAGACGTATAATTATCTTCTTATGGTTCCTTAAGCTGAGTATAAGACTAAGAGCTTTGGAATTCAGGAAAAATAACTTTTAAAGGTATGGTGGTAAATGAAATTCATCGTAAATGTAATCTAAAGACTTATCTGTGATAGAATGTGAGAAACAGGGAAGTCTCTTGGCTTTGTCCAATTTAAATCTAATGAATCTGCTAATGTACTATGAACAAAGATAAATATTCTTTGTTAAAAGATTTATTTGGTTTTTTTTTTTTTTTATGTTGTTTATTTGTATGCTGTGAGGTGGACTGTGATTATTTATGCATTTGTGAAAATTGAAGGTTAATTATACTTAAATTTTGTCTATGAAAATTGTCAAATTGCAACGTTCCAATTGAAAAATGCACCGTACGAAATATAACTTTATTGTTTCTACATATTTTACTTTGAATAAATTAGTAAATAATGGAAGCTTCTTCTGCACAACACAATCTTATTAATGTTGAATGAAACAATAAAAGTTAAAGCAACACATCATCTACATTTGTGGTGCAGTGGCCTATCCATCCCATCGCAAGTAATATATCATTTTCTAATATTATCTTTGCAAATGCAATTCATGCGCTCATTGCAAATAGTTTACATGCAACGCACGTGTGCATTAACTAATAGACTAAAGTGACATGAATTAAATATTTTAGGGATTAATTTGATAAAATTGATATTTTAGTGAGCAAATTGGTAAATATATATATATTTTAAGGACTAAAAATTATACTAACCTTTCTTATAATGTAGTAATTTTTTTATGATGGAGGGCGTTTTCCTATTACAAATTTCCAAAAACCATACTTCAAGGAGGGGGGGGGGGGGGAAAAGAAAAAAAGAAGAAGAAGAAGGAAATAGGGGTTTCCATATCAAGTGCTACATATAAAGGATCATTGTGTTAATTAGTGCCTATTTTTTAGTAGCCTCGACTTGGTCACTAGAACTATCGATATGAGCTGAGATTTTTGAGTATCATAGACGGAGGAGGAGGAGGATGAGGATTCAAATTTGAACAATATAGAAGTTACCATAATTGGTAATAAAATTGTAGCTTAAATGGATCCTACAATTCGAGATCTAATTTACTTTAATTCTTTTTTTGATAGATTATCTGCTATGCATTCTTGTAAAATTTATTATACATAAGTAGATCCTTCACTTATTAATAATAAATGATCTATAAAAAAGAGAATTTTTTTTAAAAATGTAATAGAAGAGATCTAAATTCCAATTCATATATATGATGATTTATGACTAATAAATAATGGATTTGACTACGGAATCGAAAAATATAATTTTGGTACTATCCTGAGATTTACTATATTTGTAGATATTTTTATTATTGTTGTGTGTGTTTTTATCGCAGTTGTGATATCCAAAAAAATGGTAAAAATATTCACAAATGTAATAAATCACCCACAAAAGTGATAATTTTTTTTAACTGAATAAAAATTATAAAAATAGTTATCACAACAGTGATAAAAATATCCACAAAAATGATAAATCACCCATAAAAGTAACAAATTTTTGGGTTTAAAATTGCCTACAAAAATTATAAAAACACAATTTGAAGTAATAAATTTTGGAGATATGACACTACTTTTTTTTTTATTGGTACCGTGGTCAAGTCCATAAATCATGGTGTGATATTATTGTCTCATTAATATTTATCCACAAGCAATGTTATGAGAATTTAATGATTTAATTTAGAGATCTAATTCATTGTCCTTGTTAAATTACTTGTGAATATTAAAATTAGGCGGGGTTCATTTTTAAACTAATAATTATAATAATTAAATCTCTAAATTGAGTCTCCAAATCAAGTTAAATAACATTTTTCTCGTTCCACATCCCACTCACACGATTGAAACGAATAATCTTGGATATAATTTATTTATATTATTTAATAACCTAACTCATTATATTATTAGTAAAATTTAATCCAACAGTTTTAGTATATTTGATTAATAAATGAAGTTTGAGTAATATTATTCCGAATGAAATACGACGGAAAAATGTGCAATCAACGCGTAGAGTTCCGATTTCTAATCCAACGGTGACTCATGCACGCCACACAAGGACGCACCTCTGGACTCATGCACGCCATTCACAAGGACGCCCTTCACCACAACTCAACACTTGCATGAGAGAGAGACAGAGAGAAAGACAGAGGGCATGCATTACTCATAACCATAATCTATCGTTGAAGACGTATAGAAAAAAAAACAAACAGAAAAGCAATATCACTATCCCCGGTCATCGAGGACTACGGTCTGCACATTGAGTTCTTGTTGTTTTACGAGCAACGCCCTCTTTCTATTTTTGAGATATTGAATTTTGTATATTTGTAAATTTTGAAAATTATTTAAAATTTTTTAGGTACGTAAAAGATGAAAGATCAATATCAAACATATAAAGATAAGAATCGATCTTAACAAGTTAAACATGGATTCCAAATATACTTCAAAAAATTAAAATCCTACTCTTAAAATTTATAATTTATTATAAATAAACCTCAAAGTTTATAAAATTTGATGGGTAAATTATATTTTATATTATTTTTTTTTATATTACATTTTCAATGTATTAAATGTGTTATAATGTAATACTTCTGTTAATTTTTATAACTCATTATGTCAACATCAATAGGGTAATTTTTAATAAAATAAATAATAGAAACTAAAAGTTGGGGCTGTTCATCCTATTTTATGGGTAGAAAATATGGTTTTTCGTCTTCCTACCTAATATTTTGCGAAAGAATTTTTTTTTAACCTACCATACCCGATCAAGTGTGATATTCTTATCCGACTTCCAGTCAAATTAATCGGGTAGAAAATTAAATTAACACTTTTGTAGTTATTATTTTTTGAATTATTTTAATAATTCAATTAAATAACATGCGCCAATTTAACAACATAATAAATCAATAATATTAAAGTCTAAAATAATTACAACAATAATTATAATAAAACACAAGTAAACATAAATATCAATTTATCATAATTGTTGAATAAATACAACAACAATTATTTTAAATTTAAACCATATATTAGGGAATTAGGGTTTTAGTTTACGTATATATATATATAAATTAATGCGGGAGGATTCCTACCCGTCGCTTTTGGCGTGTTCCTTTTCAGCCAGACGCAGAACCCATCAAGTAACTTTTCTCTGATCCCCACTACCTCCATAATCACACAGCTTTTCCAAATTAACAATAAATGTTCTTATAAAGTCACCGTTCCCTGATTTGTAGAGCTTGTTTTGCTTTGCTTTTTGGATCGCAATCATGCAACAATCAAAACTAGAAATCAATCATATACATGTAAGTAAGCCAATCTTCTCTCTCCTGTTGGATAAAGAAAGAAATAAATAAAGAACACGCATACACAATCCATAGATCTGTGTTTCCCCTGTTTTGACTGCTTCTATGTTTTGACTACTTGGGCAATCATGGGTCTTGTTCAAGCTTCCATTTCAGACTTCGTTTGTAGTGGTTTTCTTGGTTTAATCAATTACAACTATGAGTTTTGGAAATAGTTGTTAAGTTGATCATTGGTTTCAAAGGGAGCATAAAAAATCGTTGATTTTCATCAGTTCAAAGTCTGTTGTGGAAAAAGTGCTTTTTGCGACGTAGTCTGATTGAATTGAAAGTAAACTTTCTTTGTGAACAGGAATTGATTGGTTGATTCCAAGAAAGAGAAGGGGTTTCTTTGTGACCAGGAATTGATTGGTTGATTTCAAGAAAGAGAAGGGGTTTCTTTGTGAACAGGAATTGATTTTTTTGACTGTTTGGGCATTCATGGGTCTTGCTCAAGCTTCCATTTCGGACTTTGTTGTTTGTTTGATTCTGAGAAAGTTTTAGAAAGAGCAAGAGAGGAAAGAGAACAAATAACTATTTAGAGAAGTATTTTTAGGATTGGTTTTGACATTTTTTGTAGAGGTATAGGGTCATTCTTGGTTGGTTTGCTTACTTGGAGAGATGGGATCTTTTCCTGGGCATGTTCTTCCAGGGACATTGTTCCTTTTGGTTGGTGTATGGCACATATGGAGTTCTGTGGTCAGATATGCTTCAAATCCGAAAACATTTCGTGTTAAGGTTTGGAACCCTGTTCCGGGTTTTGATGGAAGGCTCAAGTACTTGGAGCTATACGTTATAGCAATTGGAGGTTTTATCGATATGTGTATAGAACTTCTATATTCCACTCACCTCAAGCTTGTTGTTAATGGGGTCTTGAACCCCACTCACATGAATAATTTTGAGCATGGAGGAATGCTTCTCATGTTCTTCATCTTCGGAGTCATCACTCTGCTCTCTGAGAAAACCAGGTCAGTATCCCCCTTCTATTATGTTCTTGCTTCTTGGCATTTATGTTTTTATTCTATGTAATTTCCTGTTAGATTTCTGAGAAATTGTAGGAAAGGGAACTATTTCGACACCCATATCAGAAATCAATTCAATGAAAAACTTAGGACTCAAAATTCCCTTTTTTCACATGGAGAATGAGTCTATTAGTTATTGGTAGTAGAGGAAATGGAAATAGGAAAAAGCTAACAACAAAACAGGACTTCTAATTGCTAGTTACTTGTGAGAACGTTATGTTGCCTTCTTACTTCTTAATGATTTTGTTATAACTTTTTTTCCATTATACGGAATTGAGCATATAGAGAATTAGGAATGAGAGATGCCAACAGGAAACAACTTGGGAAGGTAGAGCTTGATGCATGCCAATTAGATTATACTTAAATTTATGCACAAGCTATAGTTGCACTCCTTTGGGCATACCTTTGCCTTGTACCTCTTAGTTTTTGGTATTCATTTTATGCAACCATGGCAGTGTCCTGAATTGAATTTAATAACAAACTGTATATGGTTTACAACTTCCAAAAAGGATTAGCTTCAGGAAATTGACCTTCAGATTTGACCATCACTCTACCTTTTGATAACTGAACAGAGTTGTTTTCAAAAGTGCTAGGAGGCTGATTTCATTGTGACGTCAAATTGAGAAATATTGTTTCTAAATAGTGTTTGCCGTAGTTTTGGCAGTAGACCGAACTCATCAAAATCACAGTGATCTGTACACTTGAGAAATATTTTACCAATGCTTATTGGTCGGTATTTACTTTATGGAGGACCAGAAGGACAGAATTGTGGTTAGGTGAGGCTGTTTGCCCTAGGCGGTGATCGTCTAGTGTGAGTGAGGACACCTTAGTTGCTTCTTTAATCCTAGGAAGTTCACAGTTGAACATATCTTATAGTCTTTAACAGATAAATGAAAGGCATTGGAAAGCAGCTTCAATGGGGAACTGTGAAAGGCATCTCCTCTTTTTTCTTTTGTTTTGTAGACGGAGCCAAAACTACTATAATAGTGCTAAAGGTATTCAATAGTTGTACACATAAGATCTTAGAGACAATGACTTATCTTCCGAAAACACAGTAAAAGAATCTTTTGACAAAGGCTTAGATTCCTGCATTCATGAAAATAAAGTGCTCAAAAATAACCTGCATGTGGTTCTTCAGAAATTTAATGTACTGATATCTCCTTTCCACACTTATTGAGATCTCACCATTATAAGAAGTGATTTAAACCCTTTTTTCTAAAAAGCCCCAAGTGAAAAGCATACCCATATGATTTCTAAGAGTCTATTTACTCTCAGAATTTGCCAAACCAGTGTTATAAGTACTCCACACTTCGTACCTTTATGCATCAGATCTCGGAGTCTTTAAACCATATACTATGCATTCCATGCTATTTCAAAAGGAACATTGGATATTACATAAGATCTCTCTCTCTCACAGTCTCTCTCGTCCTGACACTATTTTGTTCTTTGGTTATACCTGTGCTTTCCTTTTTCAATAAGTTGTACACATGTGCTCAATATATGTAATTTGAAACCCAAGTGTGGTTGAAAGCTGTGTAAACATCCGTATCATACAGCTAGAGTATCCAAGGACATTAGTCAAACTCCATTGCTCGATAGATAATTTGTTCACCACATCACTTAGGCAGCCATTATTCTGATTTGATTTGGTTTTTGAGAAATAACTCCACCATTCGATTTCATGGTTTCTTTTTCATTACATTGCTTAAACCTTTTTTTCTCTGTTCAGCTTTCTTCCCCTGCCAGAAGGAGCTTTATGCTTGATTGCAGCCACAGCATTTTGTGCAGAGTATTTCTTGTTCTACTTCCATTCAACTACCCATACAGGCCTTGAGGGGTACTACCACCTCATCCTTGTCCTCCTCATAGGCCTCTGCATTTTGTCCATCATTGCTGGAGCCCTCATGCCAACCAGCTTCCCTGTTGACTTGTGTAGTGGTATTGCTATAACACTCCAAGGCCTCTGGTTCTATCAGACTGCATTCACTTTATATGGCCCCATGATGCCAGAGGGTTGCCAGCTCAAAGGAAATGATGTCGTATGTCCCTTAATGGACAACCAAATCCGAGGCGAGTTGCTTGCTAGCTTCCAGCTATTTTATCTTGTTCTTGGTGTCCTTGTGGGGGTTGTGGCATCATATGGTTTTGCAGCTTCAAGATTTGGGCATTCTGATCTTAAAAGTTTGCACACATCTGAGCATGGTTTAGATCAGAATTAGCATAGGTTATGCTCTTTTTTTTTTTACCTCGTATTCTATTCATTTATAGTGGTAGAAGGCTTCTATATGTGATCTTACTTTGGTTTTCATGCCATTTTGAGGTAACTTTGCAAGCAGTTTAAAGGTAATGTCATTCTGCAGAACAATTTTCCTTTTTTCTTTTTCAATGTGCCAGACAGATATGTGTATTTTATAGTGTTCAAACTTGTGTTGGTGCAATTACACGATGGAACAACAGTGTTGTTCTTTACCAAATTCTAATATGCTTGTGCAATGTAATTGATTGATTCATAGTTCATCTGATATGAACTTACCCACACTTTGCCTTAGGATGGTATCATCGCGTTTTCGCAATTGGCACCTACGTCGATTCACCCTTCTGACATTGGCCCAACAATACGACCAATTTTCACAAAGTCTTCTAGAATTTTTAACCTGACCAGATATGCCATCCTTTTCATTTAACAATTCATTTTTAACCTGACCTGACCAGATAGAAATGCCATCCTTTTCATTTGACAAATTGTGACATAAGGATGACTCTGATACGGGTTGAAATAAACTCACGAGTATAACTCACTTTTGAAAATCAAATTGTAAGAAAAAAAGTATCAAATTTGATAACAGAACAAACTGTAAACTCAGATGTCTTAAATTCGAATATTTACAACTATTCGAGATCAAGTCATAAGAGATTTATTTGTCATAAATACCCTAATTCCAGCATAGATCGTCCGCTTTTGACCAGACCAGGAAAAAGATAAGTTGAAGTGTACTTAAATTGGTCCGAAAACTCCTAACCAAAAATTATGTACACTGTCAAACCCAATTTAAATTATGCGACATATTTAAGATTATAAAAAAAATCAAAATAACTATATCATTCAAAAATTCAAAATTAAATTTATACAACTAAGTCATTTAGTTTGATCTAATTTATTATTTTTGGATTGACAGTAAGTTTGAATATTTTTTAGGACCTATGAATTATGTTATTAAGATATAATTTAGAGATATAATGAGTTATTACCAATAGAATGATAGGGAAATACATTTAATGATAGGTATTATGAAATATATTTATTACAACATTATATATATTTCATTATCATTCTATTGTTGACAACTCATTTTGTCACAAAATTGTGTTATTTAATTATGTCCCAATAATATTAATGTCAAAACTAATAGTCGTGATAGATTAAAACAGTAAATTTAGTCAACTCCTCATATATCACTAGTCAAAAAAATAATATAAATTAAATTAATACTTAACTAACTAATTAAATTAATAATTTGACTTTTCACACTTTGTATCTTAAAAAATTTCAAAATTCTCATTTTATATCTTCAAAAATTAAATTTCTTATATTGTACCATCTTATGAAGCACGAATATTTTGTTGAGGTCGGTGTATCCATATCGGATACGAAACTCGTCGGATATTCGAGAATACGTATCAGATACACCTCCTACGTAACCGAAAATAATTAAATTTTAGGATACTTCACGGTTACTTTTGTGTTCAAGTAATATATATAATTTTTGAGTTAAATTTTTAATATTCCCTTTCAAATTCACATATCATACAATATATTTACAAAAATTCATACTATTTCAAAGGCACATGAGTATTTTTTAAATATTATCTATAATTATATGTCAACAGAGCATAAAATAAATTTATTACATTATAGTCGCAGCAAAAATTACTTCTAAATAAACCGATTCGGTAAATATTACATTTGATTCCTTTAATTAATCATTTCAATTTGTGAATATTCCATAGTGATACAATATATATTTTCTTCAAACTAAAAAGAATTATTAATTTTTCTCATTGTGTTAAAAAATTATCAAAATATATTAGTATTATGCTAATTGAAAATAATAAAAATATTAAATATATTTTATTATAACCGTATCTTGACTGTACCTGTATCATTCTTTTTTAGATTTTATCATATCACCATATCCGTATCGTATCATACCCGTATCTCATATTAATATCCGTGTTTCTAAGGCTATTAAACAAGTCAAGATTGAATATTTTTTAAATCTCATTTATATGTGGATAATTAAACGATCCAACTTGTTTACGTGTAAAATCAACTTAATTTAAACTCGAATTCAGTTCTATTAGCACTGTTTCGTACGTACCGTGAATATATCTCTATTTCGCTTTCCCTTTATAGGGATGGGGGGCTCAGATTCATCGTAGGAATCTTTCTGGTTATAGCTTTCTACTTTTCGATCCTCTTATTTAGTACTACGAGTCAGATTCCTACAAGCCTATGCACAATTGTACAAATAGATAGGGTTCGATGTTACGAACACCGTTAAATATTATGCGATTAGACATTTGATGATACACAACTTCTTCCCGGTAGGACAAGCGGTTAACAGAAGGGCCATAATCTTGAAGTTTTTGAGGGTAAAAAATACAATTAGGCCTTAATACCTAGTGAATAATGTTATTTAAATTTAAAAATTTGAATTAATTTATAGACATAATAATATGATTTCATATGAATTATTAAATCAAAAATAAGTTTTAATATTTGATGGATATTACAATCAATTCAAAAATTATAATAAACTAGGTCAGTAAATTATGCCAGTAACATTACTAATAACTATTCTCTTCGTTCTTAAATATCTATCGTTTTACACAATTTTTTTTATTTTATAATATCTGTCGTTTAATGAAACTAATATATTTTCTTTCAAATTTATCATTAATTTTTCAATGCATTAGGTTAGGTCTAATGCATATTGAATAAAGATATTATAGTCTTATATAATTATGTTTTACTTATATTACATTAGAGTTATTTAATAATTTTTTTTAATTTTTTGTGTAAAAACCATAAACAGTATATATTTAAGAACGGCGGAGTTGTTACCAAATTTCACCCTCATCTTGGTTTCCCAATCCAAACCTCGGAAACTATAAATTTAGACGTTAAAAAGTCAGCTCAAAATCTTCACTCTCTCGCAAAGCCTCTCCTCGCCTCTTGCTCTCAACGGCTCTCTATGACTCTCTCTCTCTGAAGCATATCTGTCACAAGCAAAAACGCCAATTCTCTCTCTCTCTCTCTCTCTCTCGTTTTCATATTTGATTTTGATTTTTCTAGGTTTTACAGTTCGTTCTTGTTATATCTATATAGTAGATGTATGATTAACACTGATTATGGATGCAGGGAATCGGTACAAGATGCCGCGATTTCCTCTGTCTGATCGCATGCTTAAAAGGAAAAATCCCTGTGATGATGTATGTATGAGCATTCCATCCTTTTGAATATGTTGATTTTCTGTTTTGTTGGCTCAAAAATTTAACCCAATAAAAGAAGAAGAAAATACATGTTCTTGAATGTCTTGCGTCGAAATTATTCGGAGTTTCTTTGCATTCTCGATTTGCGGGAGTGTACATGTGAGTTCTATACATTGGGGTATCAACTGTTTGAGTCTTTGGTGTTTTTTTTCTCCGAAGATTCAAAAGAAAGAACAAAGGGAAATATGATATACTCAAGATTGTATCTCGAATTCCTTCTGGATATATTTACGTTTTTCTGCATGAGATTTTTGCTTTTGGTGGTTTCCGTTCCAATAAATTTCTAGGACTTTTTGCTGAACATGTTTTTCTTCGATTTTGTGTGTGAATTGAGTTTCTTCTAGTTTATGTTTTATGCTTGATCTGTTAAATTCTGGGATGTACCAGTGATTTGGGGATTATTGTATAAGTTATCATGAGATTTTGTTCTGAAACTCCTTTTTTCTGGAATTGGCAGTTGGACAGGTTCATTCCCAACAGGTCTGCGATGGATTTTGACTTTGCTCAGTTCATGCTCACGGGTGGAAAGGTAGAAAAGGAAAATTCAGCATCGTCTTCTCCATCCAAAGATGCTTACAGGAAGCATCTTGCAGAAATTTTCAGCATGAACAGAACCAGGATCCTTGCTTTTAAGAACAAGCCACCCCCATCTGTCGATGGTGTTCAAGAATTCTCCTCACTAATTAATTGGTCAAGTGTCACCAAGCGTAGTAGATTCATTCCCCAAGTGGGTTTTCTCTCTTTCTTAGGGACCTGTTTTTTCCTTGCATCTAATGGTTTCTTTCTGAGGGTGGGCCCTGGTAAGGTTTCTTCATTGTATAGGCGTAGTTCGAGTCATGAAAATAGCCTTTCTGCATGTAGATTAAGGCTGCATCTACCACATATCGAATCATCCCCTGATCTTGCAATGATAGAAACCTTGTGTATCGGGCTGCACTTTTTAATATTATAGTTTCTTTCCAGTTGATCAATTTTTAATGATTCTGTTTGCTATATAATTACAGTCTTCCGAAAGAACTCTGGATGCTCCTGATATCCTAGATGATTTCTATCTGAATTTGCTGGATTGGGGTGGCAACAATGTTCTTGCTATTGCCTTGGGGAATTCAGTATACCTGTGGGACGCTTCCGATGGATCGACTTCTGAACTTTTTGCCATTGATGATGATATTGGGCCTGTAACAAGTGTCAGATGGGCACCTGATGGACAATCCCTTGCTGTTGGATTGAATAACTCCCATGTGCAGCTGTGGGACTCCATTGCCAGTAGGCTGGTATGTGTTTGCCATGATTTTGTTCCATAATATATTTGTTACACTCTTTTGACTTCTTGGATTCCATTGGCCTTCTATTTAGTTTGAATTAGACGAGTCTCATGTTTTATCGCAGTTTTCTGTTGATCTAATACTAATGTAGACTGCTTATTATCAAACATGACGTTAAAACAAAATAAGCTGTCCTTTGATAGACTAAGATGATTAGAGCTATCACTATCTTTCCAGCCATAGGCGAATATGCTCACTTATCTAAAGGTGAAGGGCTCCCTTTTCTTTCTGCGGTTTCATATACTTCAGAAGAACTTCCCCAATTCCATGGGGGGATTGAAACAAGAGTGGTCAACTGGAGTGAAAGCCAAACAACTGGGTCTAGAACCTGTGATCAATCCGAGAAAAAAAAGAACTACTGCCAGATAAGATATTGATGAAATATTTAATGGCTAGGATATGCATTTAGTATTGGTTTTGGGTGTCTTAAGCCCTTTCTTCATGTGATTCTCTGTAGTACTACTATTACAAACTTACATTTGGTGTGTTTAAACAAGTTTGATTTTCCTATGCAAGTTTATCTGATTCTATTTTTTATTATTAATAGCTGAGAACTCTGCGAGAAGGGCATGGATCAAGGGTCGGTTCACTTGATTGGAATAATCACATCTTGACAACTGGGGGAATGGACAGCTTGATCACTAACAATGATGTAAGAATAAGATCCCACAATGTCGGAACATACAGAGGACACAGTCAGGAGGTTTGTGGATTGAAATGGTCTGCATCTGGCCAGCAATTAGCAAGTGGAGGGAATGACAATCACATCTGCATTTGGAGCATTTCATTGGCCTCCTCAAATTCTGATACTCAATGGCTTCACCGTCTGGCAGACCACTCAGCTGCTGTAAAAGCTCTCTCCTGGTGCCCTTTCCAGAGTAATCTGCTTGCTTCTGGTGGCGGTGTTGGAGATCAGTGCATAAAGTTCTGGAACACCAACACTGGGGCGTGCTTGAACTCGGTGAATACAGGTTCGCAGGTCTGTTGCTTGCTTTGGAATAAACATGAGCGAGAGCTTCTGAGCTCTCATGGCTTCCATGATAACCAACTCACCCTCTGGAAGTACCCTTCCATGGTCCGGCTCAAAGAACTTTATGGTCATACATCAAGAGTGCTCCATATGGCTCAGGTACTGATGATTTGATAAAACAAAACACACTCTATTCTGATATGGAGAGATTAATTGTATCCACTGTTTTTTCCTTCTTGGTACAACTGATTTATCTATATTTGGTTGTGTTTCATTTGGTGATTTATTCTTTTGCCTCTTTTCTTGGGTATATTTCAGAGTCCAGATGGGTATACTGTTGCATCTGCAGCTGGTGATGAAACCTTAAGATTGTGGAATGTCTTTGGGACTCCAGAATCGGCAAAGCCTGCACCTAAAACTAAGCCAGAACCATTTGCTGATCTTGCCAGAATCAGATGAAGATTTTTGGTTGCCGGAACGAGTGATTGGTGATCGTAATCATTTTTCTTGGGGTGGTCGTACTGGGCTTGCTTACTAATGACTCCCGGAGTAGGTAACGTTTGCATAAAATACTCTAGAAAAAAAAATGCTTAGAAATTACACCGAAAAATATTCTGTTTACCAATATACACCCTTCAACTCATTTTTGTTATGTGCTTTAGGTTTTCCAGATATATATAGCTAAGAGTGTAAAACTCTGGAAAATTAAAACTTTATTAAAAAGGGTATAATGGTTATGATTTTGGTGAATGGCGGGGGTGTAATGACATGATATCGGGTTAAATGGTACTCATGAGTATTTCTGCAGGTTGATGGGTGATCAACGTTAAAAAAAGATTTCGAATTTTGGAGCGTCACAAAGAGTATGGTGCGTCTGTGTATATGCTTAATAATTCAGCTTTTGGCCAGTTAAGATGATCAGTCTGGTGTGCTGCAGGAATTCATGATCCTACAAGCTCAATATGTTCTGATTAGATCTCTTCCTCGTTCTACTCAGCCAAGCCCCTTCCCTCTGGATGGATCCTCGTTTGATAACTGAATGCTGATTTAAGCACCCATTCAAGAAGAAGGGGAGTTGCAAGCTTTTTCCACAAGAACAGCCCAAAAATGAACTTCAGTATAGCAGTGCTCTGTCAATGTTGCCGTTATAATTATTTCATCAGCTAGTCATGCACTTAGTTGAGGTTGCTGTTATGAATTTCGACATTTGTTACAGAACAAGTCCAGAGCACCACAAATAGATGAGTTTTATTGAACAGCCTTGATTTTCGAAAAACAGGTCTGAGGAGAAAATTACATGAGCTCGCTAGTACAAATTCTGAAATTTCCATGGAATTTGCTCACCTCACCTCGCCTCACTCCAAGCTCTTTTTTTGCTGCTCTTGAAGTCATATATGATCACCTTGAGCTACGATCTAACTTTGCATGCATAGTATAAACTGGATACCCCTGGCGCGGGTCTTCAGTTAAAAAGGCTACTTAGTCACGCATCTTCTTGATGTATGATAAGAAAAATCATCATCTAAACTGATTTAAGAAATGAAAAGCATACAGTTTATAAAATATCAAACATTATAATACCTGTATGTATACCTATACATCATTCAAAATTATTACAATATCAATCAATTGTGCCTGGAAATTAAAGTCGGTTTGTATAGGTAAATGCAGCCCTATTCAGTAAGGGACAACAATGGACTCTACAAGCTCTTGAAGTGGAGCTAGCTCCTTCTTGTCAATCAGCCCAAATTCCTGCATAGAAGCAGAACAGTTAAGTTGGTAAACAAGATATGATGAAGCAGACTAGCAGATAACTATTTTTTAATGAAGAAATAGCAGACAACCTTTACCCGGATTAGAATCAAATACTCAAGTTGTTGTTTGGATGCTACAAGGGACTATGATGGTCTAGTTTTAATTTCTTTAGAGAAGTCAGAAATCAGTCCTTTTAAATATAGTCGTCATAGAACATAAATGGAGTTTGTGAAAAACCATGGTCATCAAACCAAAAATGGGACAGAGTATAGAAACCGGAGAATTCAATGGGGAAGAGGAGAAAAAAAGGGGGGGGGGGAGTCTGATGAATAACTAATATTAACCCTCTTCATGAGGGGCAAGATATCAATTATTTTATGAAAACTTTCAATTAATGAATTCAAACATGCAAAACTGACAGAGAATCTCAAGCATTTGATGTACGTGACACAAAGAATCAAGAGATTTTTGCTCTGAATGAAGCTGGCAAGTTTGAAGAACTGTATCTCTTCAGAAAAAAGTAAGAAAATTAACTAGGATGCGAAGAATGATAGAAACTTACACAAGTGAACAAGATAAAATGCTTGAAGCAAGTATTTAGATGGGCCTCCTCCTTAAGACTCACAATCTTCTGAAAGTGATGGTAATAAATATGAGCATATACACGGAACAGGCGTTTGAATATCGTTTTCACAATGTCCCTGAAATTCGGAGGAAATGGTGCACCTACAAAATTCAAAGTGAACAGACATAAACTCATTCCGGTTGCCTGTGCCCAACAGATAAAGGAAGTTAAACAACGATATTGTTGAAAATAGAACCAAATGGTTTCTAGTCAGATCTTCGACTCTTCCACAATACAAAAATGTGATAGATATACAAATCAAACAACAGTTATTACCAAGCCTTTGAGGGAATAAGGATTCATCATCCAACTGGGATTCAATCCAGTCCATCAAGTATTCAACATATTTTGGAGCCGAAACCTCTATGGGTTTTTTGATTTGTACACCATCTGCCCATCTATATTCATACCTGAAATTTTATCAGCACAATGTCAGGAACTTCTTGATACGCGCCATACTCAAAGTTGGAAGAATTGAAATTTCACTTCAGTGATCTTGTTCAATTTGTCATTGATAAATGAAGTAGGAATTTTGGCAAAAAGACCAATATTTTCTCTGTTGACTTTGCCAGTCACTGTTACAATTTGTCCACTAAAATTGAACTGGAGATAATCCTATTACATGCATTTAGTAAGACAGCACTTCCATTGTATTACTGCACTGTATTGGTTGTGTTAACTAACCTGTGGCACGATAATAGAAATAACAAAATATGGTATGTCGAATAAATATACTAGAGTCTTAAACGGATCCTGATACAAATACAGAAGAGACTTCATTTATGGTCAGTACACTGCTGAAAACAGATAAAAATTACTTATCAAAACCTGAAGAAGTACCAAGTTTTAATTATTTATAGAGCAGAAACATACAGGTAGACATAGAAACATGAGTACATGTGTGCACAAAATATTGGTTTTCACTATATTATGACAAGTTTGATAAGTCCTGTATGTTTAAAAACATTTAGATTCCTTAAAAAATAGAAAACCCCAATCCGTTGATGGGAATATCTCATGAAATTAGATCCACAGACACATTCAGCGAGTAGTAGGTGAACTTGATGAAGTCATCAGAGAAAGTATTTATTCAATTCTGAAACATCTTTCCTTGAGTATCAGAAAACGCCTTTGAATCTGCTAGAATGGTTTCCGGTGCGAAATGAAACTCATCGGACATATAGGATAGGATTGGATGATTGTCAGCCCATGTAAGCTAATTATAAAAGCAAGTTAAATATGGTAATTTATTAACACATACTTAGGACCTGCAGTCATTGTACGGCAGTTCTCTGGCGTACAGAACTCTGTGAGGGTGCCATAAAGCAGGTTCACCTGGTTGAAGAAATCCACGGCTGGAAATTGGCAAATTAAATCAGCTCTTTCAGATTTCATCCTCGGAGAGAAACTTATTGCATTTTATGAGCAAAAGAACATGATATTGTGCTGATTATATGCTTAAGTAAAATGGACTTCAACAGAAAATAAATAGACCTCAACCAGAAACTAAGCATGTAAGTAGGCACGTATAAATCTGCAAAGAAGCTGCATCTGTGTCTGGGCATTGAAACATTTTGCACTTTCTAAAATGTTAATCCTATTTCCCTCAACACTCACAAAAGAAAAATGTAATTATTTTACTGTTGGACATAGCCAACATTTCCTGTACACTGGTTCACATACAAACACAAACATACACTCAAAAGTGTTTGTAAAATTATAAGACAAACATGACTGGCCTTGCACAACATTTGTATAATGTAGAACCATAATAACATTACAACAAATAAAATGAGATAATAGGAGGTTGTAATCAGCACATGGGTGGGTAGAAGAGGAGAAAACTATGGGTTGCATTTTGATACATAAGGTACACAATTACATACATAGAGAACTAAATATAGAGACATGATTGCCACCTTTATCCACTACTTTACAAGTATTCACTGTTCCAATAAATCGCACAATCTCCATCAGAGTCCCAAATCCATATCCATGAACAAGGCAATAATAAAAGAAACCAGCAGCATGCAGTAGTAAATCTAATAAATTGAGAGGAATAGGGTGAAAAACAGTACGATTGAGTATAAAAAAGGATCCTTTTCATGACATCATTGGAAGTTCTTAATGCATAATAAACTGATGACATTTTGAAGTGCAGCATGCAATACTAAACCTCACTAATTGGGAGGAATAGGACGAAATGAGTATAACCAATTCCTAATTTCTCTCAGGGGTATACATATACAAATAAATGTATATGTGTGCTTGCGGGGGTGGGGGGTGTAGAGTGAGAGAGGGTACTGTTGACAGCAAGCCATTCATTTGCATCCTCTCCCGGGGGAAGTCTTACTGCTTCTCTCAGGTTTCCACTACCTAAGGTGGCATCAATGTGCTGTCTTAGCTGTGCCCCCTGCATTAAGAAATCATAAAATATAAGATGCAAATATTCTCATAGATTTAGTTTGCTGAACAATGAAAACATGTAAAAATGAGATGCTATCTTTCAGAAATGGTCCAAATTTCTTTAAGTAACAAACAGATGTCAGCATATATTATAGCAAAAGACCAATGACAAATGATCAACTTAACAATCTTGTTAAATCGTATTAAGGCCTAGTTTTAGATGCCCCTTACATGCCCAAAAACACACGCATGTCTTGGGAAACTATCCCTGGAGCTTCTTTAATCATTAAAGCAATCATGTAGATATCAAGACGAAATATCATGCATTTTGGTGCATGAAGAATTTGATCACAAAGTAATTTGGTGTAAGACCAATCCCTTCCATCTAAATCTACATTCAAAATTTAGCTTCATGGTTTCTACTACGTCAATGTGCCAAATTTATATAACCAAACCGCTTTAAACAATGCGTTTGGTTTTATTCCTATGGAATTTTTTTTTTCCTGAAAGATGAGATGACAATGTTAATCATTAAGATATTGTTGTTTTGCCCAGTACCATAGTGTATCACACCACTACAGTTAATGATTCATAATAGCGATAAAAGTAGATGTTTAAGCAAATTCTTATTCCATGCAAAAAAGAGAGCACTAAAATTCAGATGTTTAAGCAAAGTCTTGCTCCATGCAAAAGAGAGAGATATCAAGTTTCAGGCATTCCAATAAAAGCTACAGCTATTTTTTTGAGGAAAGAAAAAATATAAACATGATGAAGCTCAATCCAACCAAAAAGTAAAAAGTCATACCACACGAAAACAACTAACAAGAAGAAAACAAGAAAGTAAATGATATTTCTAGTATAGCTAAGAGAACAACCTTACTTCCTGATGGAGCACTTTTTTTGGGTCGAAATGTCCTTTGGTTCCTGTTGGCAAAAAGCCAATTTAAACCATTGTCAGCCAATAGATGAAATGGATCATAAAAATTTTCAATCATCCATCATAAAAAAAGATCTAATAATGAAGGGTAACTTAACTAAGAAATGTGTACTGTAATTTTGTCTCTATACTCCTTAACATAACAAGCACATGAAAAACTACACAAATGGAGAGTCATGCAGTAATGATACGAGCATGTAAACAAACCAAAGCATTATTAGTCGTCGTTCCTGGCAGTAGTACATCCAAATCACAACCCATTTTTCACTACTCTGCCATATAGTGTACCTGTAAAATGTATGCTAAGCAAACATGCTTTTGAAAGCCTAGTTTTTACTCTTGCACCCCCTTTAATAGACACAATACTGGTTGATGAACCTATGACTTGTTCTAGTAGTGTTCAAAACCTCATACTTCAAAGGCATATATGTCGTTAACTCCAAAATATTGAATAAAGTACCAGAAAGTCCCTGTCAGCCCATAAACTGTTTCAGAATCTAAAATACCCTTCAATGAGTTCAGCAACAAAAGTTGATCTTTTATTTCTCACTGTTGCAAAAACCAAGTAAATTACATGCAGTACCAAATTGAATTGACCACTGGCTACAACCAATAAAGCACAAAACCAGCAGTGGCAGAACCCTCCTACATAGTGTTGCCATTTCACTTTTTCTTATAACATATCAACCTATACATTTTTCATGTGTCAAAAAACCAAATGTCTGCGCAAATTATATGTCCGTTCGTAAAGTCTCTGGGGCTATACTGAAATCTGTAATGATAGATTTCATTTGGCTTCACCACCAAAAGGGCATAGATGCATGGGCAGATGTATGAAGGGGCCAGGTCCCTCAATTGTATATATATAATTTGGCTATATTTTTAAATATATTAAGTTGTGGCCACACTTAAAATTGGCCATAATTTGTATATTTGTGAGTTTGTTTGGTTCTAAATTCGTAATTCAAAATTTAAATTTTTTGTAATTGGCCTACAAATGATCTCTAATTTTCTAAGGTTGATGATTGACTTGTTTCAATTGAGTTCTAAAGGTATTATTATGGTAATTTTTTGAATTCTTATTTAATAATTTTGCGATTTGGATATAAAATATAAAAACAAGCCAAAATTAATTTTTTAAGATCGATGAGAAACAACTTGCGACATATTTATTGTTCAAATCGACTCTCAATTGAAAGTATAATTTATCTATTATACATTTATATGTGTATGACTCGAGTGTAATTAACGGTTGACTTTAATATGATCATTTGGTAAAAAATAATATTTAGTAATGACCCTTTTCATTTGCATTTAGAATTTTTTTTGATGTTTCGCTTTTATGAAATCTTTTTATTAACGGTTTAGATTTTATTGGAGTTGAAATTTATGATCTACACCATTTTATTAACATAAATAAAATTAGAGTCATCTTTGTGGAAGCCTAAAGTCATTAATAGCTTGATGTTATAGAGTCGGACATAGTTAAAGTGCCCACCCCCTTTTGAGTTAATTTCTGGCTCTGCACCTGCATAGATGTTGGAGTTTGGAGTCTGTCTTAGGAGCTCACCTCACTTGATTTCTTTGATTAACGTGGGACAGTTTTCCTTTTTATTTTTTATTCCAATACACACGTAAATCAAGTAAGAATCCAATTCTTATCAACTATGACCCAAGTGAATTCATGAAGTCTCAATCGAATACAAGGTTAATGAGTGAAGTTAGACGAGGCAATTAACAACAAAAACAAAGAAAAACTCGATGTGTACTAAGCCAAACATATCTCAAATCACACACTATATAGCATGAAAATCCCAAAACAAAAGATCTGATCCAAACAATTATAAAACATGAAAACCCATATCATTAATTGCAAAAAGCAATATCATTTATGTTAACAAAAAATAAAGAATAAAGAAAATTAGATTTTGTGCTTACCTGCCAAGACCGAAGAGACTCATGGCCACACCCACACACACCCACACCCACAGACAGAGATGGAGATGGAGAGGGAGAGAGCTAGGGCCCTGGCTTTTTGGTGGTCTGCGGAGATAAGCTTGAGTAGAGAATAAGGAAGAATGAGTAGATGGAGCGGGCAGTCGAAAGGGTGCTGCCCGGGGGGCGGACATTATTCGCGGGCAGTTTTACTAGTGGAAGCGTCGAAAAAGCTGTCTTCCGCATCTGTTGCATGCCACGTTGCAAAGTCTAATAATTTTTAAACCAATCCTTTCTAGTTTTTTTCTTTACGATATAGGGTGAATCTATTAAAAAATGTGAGTTATTTGGGATAGGTATTGAAAATATTTTGTAGAATGTGATCGGAAGATCAGATATTTAATAATTTAAACTTTAAAAAAAAAATAAAAAATGGGAGAGATTGTTTTTCAAGTCGTCTCAATAATAGGTCTCGGGTTTTATATTTTTTTGATTATCTTTAAATTTATAATTAATAATTTAAATATTATTTATTTAAAAAATAATATAAAAATATATTTAATATTTCAAGGACTTAAATAATATAATTAAAATATTAAAAACAAAATCTATAATTTGAATACGGTCACTGTAATTAACCCTAAAATTTTTTAAAACGGGAAAAAAAACTAAACAGATGTGAAAATCGTTAAAGGGCCCCACACTGGAGGGGATACAGGCCCCACCGCCTCCCCATGCCTCCTCTAACCTCAGCACAACCCCTGTTTAACACCACAAAGATATTCCCATTTCTCTCTGCTAAAACTCCAAAACCATGATAACATAAAGTCACTAAACCTCCACTTCCACTGTACTTAGCTTCCACTTTCTCTTAGCTGTTCCTCTGCTCAAGCACACCCTTTTACAAGCATGGCCAAACCCTAGATCTGTCTCCCTCACAGGTAACCTCCTCTCCATCTCTCTCTCACACAGACACACACACATACTGACTGTACACACACATGTCTCACTTTTTGAGTCTGTGATGATTTTGTCCTTGCAGCTTTTTCCTGGAAGAGGAGGAGTGTTTGGAGGTTCTGGGTAGGAGAAAGAGAGAGAGAGGGAGGGAGAGGAGGAGATGAGTGGGGCTTCGACGTCTGTGTCGGTGGCGGTGGCGGGTGGTGGTGAGGGTTATTTTCGGCCGCCGTTCACGGCGGTGCAATGGCAGGAGCTGGAACATCAAGCTTTGATATACAAGTACCTTGTGGCGGGCCTGCCCGTGCCGCCTGACCTCGTCGACCCCATTCGACGGAGCTTTGAGGCCTTGTCCGCCAGGTTCTTTCACCACCCTTCGTGTAAGGCACTACAAAACCCTTCTGGTCTTTTTCTTCAAAACTCTCTCTCTCTCTCTCTCTCTCTCTCGAAGATTGTGCCGTAAACTTGTAACCGTCCCTCATTGTTCTTGATTTTTATTTTCTAGTTCTCTGTCATTGAAATACTTATGCCCTTTGTAAGTTTTAGTCCTTTGATAATGTTCATGGTGTTTCTTCCTCTTTGTATGAAATATCTTTCTTTACAAGTTCGTGAAATCTACAGAAAAGCAAGAGTTTTTTTTTCCATCCTTCCATTGTGTTTTGTTCTGCAACTTGAAAGTCAGAATGGTTCTATTTTGTTGGCAACATGAGTCAATGCATCCGTTTTTCTGTATCCAGAGTTTCGTTGTACAAAATAGGGAATCACATCGACTAAGTTTCATGTTGTTAATATCTCTATTGAAAGATTCGTTTTTTTTTTTTGGGGTGGGGGTGGGGGTGGGCTGGGAATGGTTGCAATCTAGACAAGGGACATTGGCCTCTCAGTTACAACGTAAATCAAAATGTATACAAAGATTTCCATGTAACTGTGGACCTTGACTTTATCATAGCTGAACTCATTCAGAATATAGAAGTTCCTAGCTTTGTTTCAGTCTGTCTATAGCTCTATGTATCATAGGTTTCAATAGTAACTTCGGGAATTTTCTATTTTTGTACATTCAATTGAGATGGTGCTTCAGTTTCTACTCTGCATGTGCAGTGGGGGGCTATTGTTCCTATTACGGGAAGAAATTCGACCCTGAGCCAGGTAGGTGCCGGAGGACGGATGGTAAGAAGTGGAGGTGCTCCAAAGATGCCTATCCAGACTCCAAATACTGTGAGCGGCACATGCACCGTGGCCGGAACCGTTCAAGAAAGCCTGTGGAATCTCAACCTACTGCTCAGTCCTTGTCGACTGGGATGTCGCACATTGCTACTGACTGCAGCAGTGGCAGCGGTAGCTTCAAAAGTAGTGGCAGTGGTACCTTCCAAAATCTCCCCTTGTTCTCCGTTGTTAATGCAGAGAATCTTTGTTTTGGAACCAATGTATCAAAGTTACAAATGGAGCCAGGCCTCTATGGGATCAGTAATAAAGACTACAGGTACAACATCTTTGATCCCTAGTAGCTTATGATCTTTCATGAATAGGTGTATATCATGATGATCTGTTTCTTTTTATATTCTTATGCCTTCACAACACAGTATTTCATTTATGTATAATGGGGGATCTCTTGCTGAATTCAGAGAATTGCTTCCCTTTAGGCATAGCTATCAGTAACAGCAGGACCAATATAACATCTGTAAATTCAGCTTAGGATATTTGTATGGCAATATCAACTCTGGCCTGCTTTTGTCGTTGATGAATTTAAGCTGGCCCATGCCATTTACAGTGCAGACATCTTGAAAGGAAGCTGTTGACATTATAATGGAGGCCTTGGGCAACATCAAACAAGTTAGTCTATTGCACATGAAGAGAGCCACCCTGGACTCCAATCAGCGATTAATTGGACATCTTTTCCCTCTCATTTCTGGTCACAACACATCAGCCCTAAAAGAAAAGTGATGATTAAGATAGTGCCGCACCAACTGTTTGCAAAGCAAAATGTATCATTTAGTTTTAAGAAATGTACTACTAGTTCTAGATATGTACTATCAATCATATTATTGAAAATTTTCCAATCGGTGTGGTGTTTGGAGCATCCCCATACTTACATAAAGGTTAGGTCGGTTTCATCGTTCTCAATTTTCTCTTTGCACTTGTTGGCAACTAGGGGGAAGAAGAAAATTGTCAACATATTTGAAAATTTTGATGTACTCTTGTTTTGTGGGGGTTGCTTTGAAGGGCATCGTTTAGGAAGTCATTTGCACTTCCTCCAATGTTACTGTGCATGAGAGCTGAGGGAAGGGGAGGAGGTGGGGGATGATATTTTTTTTTTTGGTAGCTCTAGGTAATGTGGTATGTTCTTGGGTATTTTTCCTAATAGACAGCATGTACCCCTTGCACAACCTGTGCATAGTGTTTTGCTGTTGGAGTAGCAATTGTAACCAAAGTCCATTTTGTTGGCAAATGAAACATGCAGATATCTCCATGGAACTGAAGCAGATGAGCACAATTTCTCTCCAGAAGTGTCAGGAAGCGTGAAGGGTCTTGAGATGGACTCCAATATCGACAGCCCATGGCGTCTAATGTCATCTCAAGTTCCCTCAAGCCCCTTTTTGAAACCAAGAAATAATTCTCATTTTCCAGAAAATTCCCCACAGCTTCAAATTGGGCAAGCTTTTGAGCCCACGGTCAATGCTACAATGTCAAAGCAGCAGCAGCAGCAACATTGCTTCTTCAGTAGCGACATTGGCTCAATAGGGCCAGTGGGAGGGGAGCAACATTCTGTGCGGCCTTTTTTTGATGAATGGCCTAAACATAGAGAAGCATGGTCTAATCTTGATGGTGAGAAATCCAATGAGAATGCATGCTCCACCACCCAGCTATCTATCTCCATCCCAACGGCTTCCTCTGAATTCTCTCTGAAGAATGCTGGTTCCTCAGATGGTGAGTTAACTCTCGTAGGAGACTAAGCTTGTTGAATCATCACCTCAACCTCGCCTTCCAAGCAGAAATTAAATAAATAGATAAAGCTATTGGAATAAGAGTTTGAAACCTCTCTGTTCCATGTTGTTTATGCTAGGTGCAGATGCTTGAAAAGATGCTATCATAATAATCCAAGCTGTCCAAGATGCGGTTTACTAACTTGTTAGTGTACTTTTTCGGATGACTGTTGTTCGTATTCAGATTTGTGTACGTACCTTCATGTTGTTGGAACTTTATTGCTTGTTCCATGTTGGTGTTTGACATTCACTGAATCCAAACTTGATCTGTTGTACAAATGCATGCTCAAGTTCTTCATCCACAATAAAAGGTGCTTTCTACCATGTATCTGTAATGTCCTATGTTCGAAGATATGTATTTTCTGTTTGGGTACTAATTGTTGGATTTTGAAAAATATAATCAACTTTTGTAGAGAGCAACAGTGGGAACTGTTGCTAGTTATTCCATGTTTTGAGGTGTGACTGCTTTGAATTTTTCGTTTTGGTTTCTGGCAAAGTGGCTTATAACTGGAACCACAAGCTAGCATCTCAACCTTTTGACATTTGGGGGTCTCCCAACTTTTCCTTCAAGTGAATGTGACTTGGACACTTGCAAGTAATTTAGTTATCAATTTATGTGAGTGAATACTATGAAATTTTTCTATGCTATTCTTCTAAGCAAGATTTCGTAGTTTCAATTTTGAAAATTTCTGTGAGTGAATTGCCAAATTTGAAATGGGTACATTGCTGAAAGGGTTCTTGAGTCTTTGATTGATATTCATGGTTTCAGATTGGTAGCTGATCAAGTGAAGTAGGTACTTGCAAGTGAGTAAATTTGTGTTGTTATGTTATTTGAGATTATCTTTTTATATCATTAGGTAGTCTGAACTGTGCCTCCCCAGTGCATAAGGCATTGTATGGTGCCTTCAGTACTGCTGTATAGCATATGAAGGTATAGTGTCTATATACTTAAGGGCTGTTAATCTGTTGTGTTGTGTTTTTAAACCGTGTCAATCGTGGATGTTAATATTTACTCAACACATACCTAACCCATTTATAATCGTGTATAGATGAATTCGTGTTGTTTATATTGACTGGTGTTTAGCCATGTCTGTGTCAACCCATTTATTTGATGAGTATGAATGTCTGATGGGTTTACTCGTCCACCACCCCAAACTTGTTAATTCCATTTTGTGTTGTGTTTGCAGATTGTGTATAAAATTGTGAGTGCTATCTGACCTAATCATGGTTGTTTGGTTTCTTAAAAGGGGAGTGAAGCCAAGTCCTTCCTAGAAATGGGACAACCAGAACGGCTTTGGTATCTATAAGCAGTCCTCACCCTGTTTATAGAATATGACACTCTGTGAAGTTATAAGCTGCGCACAACGTTTCGAGTAAGCCACACAAAACACGCGGTTTTCAACTTCCTTAAGCTAAGCTATAAGCTGGCAACCTTAAGCTCTAGAAAAGAGAAGAAGAAGAAGAGGAGGAGGGAGAGAGAGAGAGACAAGAATAGATTTTGGCCCACAATTAACTTGTATGGGAACATGAATTTATTTATTTCATTGGTAAGGAAGAATCATCTCCTTCTCATAGTCTCTAGACTTACGGCTGTTATGCAAATCTCAGATGTACATCATCACCTGTAGACCATATGCATCAGTTAAACCCGGGTTTGTGTGGCCAGTGGTCGATCTCAAGACATGTTTATTCTTCGCCCCACTTTTGACCACTAAACCAACACATGCAAATTGAGAACATAAATTTCCTATCTGGGTTCCAACATGGAAACTGTAAGGCCATTTACTGAACAATTTTGTGAGGAATCTGTGTTCCTCGCAGTATTTCGGCTTGTAGAAAAAGCAGGATGCTTAGGTCTTGGTAGAGGTGAAAGTTCATTGCTGATCATTGAGACGACGTTAGACATGGTGGGTCGATCATTTCGATTTTCTTGTACACAGAGAAGCCCAATGTTAATGTATCTCAACAATGTAGATGAAGAAGAATCACCCATTGATGGATCCTTCAATTCCAATGCTCGATCAGTGTTCCACAACTCCCATGCCTGTAGACATATTGAACAAATAGTTATGAGCATGTTAGTATGCTCAAAATAACATCATCAAAAGCCCAATGCTTTAAATAAAAAGGAAAAAAAGGTATTTTGGTAGCTTACAAATCCAAGGAGGTTGAGAGAATCAGTGTTATAAAAACCAGTATTCTTCTTCCCACTCAGAATCTCAAGAAGCAACACTCCAAAGCTAAACACATCGGACTTTACAGAGAAAAGGCCTTCCAGTGCATATTCGGGAGCCATATAGCCACTAAATTTCAATATCAGCTGAATGATTTTAGGTAACTGAATTTCTCTTTGTGCATCAGTATATATAATTTGTGTTTTATACTTACTATGTTCCAACAATCCGTTTTGTGTTAGCTTGCACCTCGTTGCCACCAAATATCCGTGCCATGCCAAAATCAGATATTTTTGGGTTCATTTCGCCATCTAATAAAATGTTACTGGCCTTCATATCTCTGTGAATAATACGCAGCCTTGAATACTGATGTAGATAAAGAAGCCCTTGCGCAATCCCTTCAATGATACGGATACGAGTTCCCCAATCTAACATCTCTTTCTTGTTTGGATCTGTTTATATCATTGGTGAATAAAGAGAGTTTTTATCACTTCTAAAAATCTATGAACACAGATGTAATGTATGATGGCATGGATCAAATATGGGAGCACACTCACCAAACAGGAAGAAATCCAAACTTTTATTGGGCATGTACTCATAGATCAATAGATTTTCATCTTCTTTGATGCAACACCCCAAAAGTCTAACAAGATTCCGATGTTGGAGTTTGGCAATTAGTGTTATCTCGTTTCTGAACTCCTCCAGCCCCTGTCCAGATCTTTTCGAAAGTCTCTTCACTGCTACTTCTAGTCCCCCAAGTGATATACCCTGTCAAAAAATAGAAACAAGAACAGAACACATAAGAAAAACAATCTCTCAAGTGCTGATAAGGAAACACCTTAGCAGATACTCAGGGCACAAAATCAGGTGTGCTCTCGATAACAAAAAGAAATATTTGAAAACATCGTTGCAGACAGGGATTGTCACATTTGGCATTATTTTGTTTTTTTGGTTAAAAGATTGCTAATTGAATAATTTCCTCTTTTAGTTCAGGAATGCTAGTGAACCTCAGTTTAACTACAAATTTTACCTTGTAAACAGGTCCAAATCCTCCCTCTCCAAGCTTATTGCATTCTGAGAAGCTATCTGTTGCTTTGGAGACACTTGCAAAACTGAACAACGGTAACTCAACTTCCTTCTCCCCTCCTTTCCTTGGATTGTTTGTAGTGTTTGACTCATTGTCTGATGCATTACTGCTTAAATTAAAATCAAATGATAATAAATCTACGCCTGAATCCTTCTTCCCTGCCCATCACAGAACAGCAACAGTGTCATTTTCGTCCAAATCATAGTGAATTCCAAATGATATCGAGCAATAGATATTTTTCATGGTTTATACTAAAAGAGTTTAAACTTGTTCTCCTTGTCCATTTTCTAACAAAATGTGAATATGCATGATATGTGCCTGAATATATTTTCAAACAATATAAGGATTCTTTTCCCCTTTGATTGCCCCATCTTTAGAGTCTTGACCTCTATCAACTGCCCACACCAATTGTTTGAGTTTGAGCTCTGAGATTTGGGCCTTAAAACTTTCCACTCACCTTTTTGATTGAGAATTTGCATGCGACAACATAGAAAGCTCCCTGAGAGAAGAACTGATAGAGAAACCGACACTGTTATGATCACCCAGAGTTTCATTTTGTTTCCTGAGTTCATGCAGTCAATTTCATAACTGATCTGAAGTTTAGGTAAATTCATTAGAAAGAAAAAGAAATTCTTGCTTATATCACTAATTTTATCAAATTGCAGCCACATACCTCCTGCATGTTGAAGCTCAGAAGCAGTAAGTTTCAGATAGAGATCATATTTATTGCTGTTGCGATCTGAGACTTGCTGTGAATTTAATAAAGCTCCATCCCAAAACAAGCACCCTTGATCATTATAGACATAAGCTGTGCAAGAACAACTTTGCATACAATTCGATTGACATGATTTAGCAGTTTGAGCAAGATATGATTTTGAATTAGCAGGCAATGTCATGTTTGGAATTTTTGAAAAGCTATCCTTTTGCCCATTGGAAAAAGTGCCATTTTCGCAAAGCAAAGGAATTACCCTCACACAACCAGCCGACCAACCATTTAGATTTGTATTTCCATCTGAGAATGGTTTAAAACCTTGCAAACATTCACACAACTTCGAGAAATTATTGAACATTCCAAATGCCCCACAAAGAGCATAAATCTGTAATTGTTCTTTAGGTTGAACACTCAGTCCTTGTCGACTGGGATGTCGCACATTGCTACTGACTGCAGCAGTGGCAGCGGTAGCTTCAAAAGTAGTGGCAGTGGTACCTTCCAAAATCTCCCCTTGTTCTCCGTTGTTAATGCAGAGAATCTTTGTTTTGGAACCAATGTATCAAAGTTACAAATGGAGCCAGGCCTCTATGGGATCAGTAATAAAGACTACAGGTACAACATCTTTGATCCCTAGTAGCTTATGATCTTTCATGAATAGGTGTATATCATGATGATCTGTTTCTTTTTATATTCTTATGCCTTCACAACACAGTATTTCATTTATGTATAATGGGGGATCTCTTGCTGAATTCAGAGAATTGCTTCCCTTTAGGCATAGCTATCAGTAACAGCAGGACCAATATAACATCTGTAAATTCAGCTTAGGATATTTGTATGGCAATATCAACTCTGGCCTGCTTTTGTCGTTGATGAATTTAAGCTGGCCCATGCCATTTACAGTGCAGACATCTTGAAAGGAAGCTGTTGACATTATAATGGAGGCCTTGGGCAACATCAAACAAGTTAGTCTATTGCACATGAAGAGAGCCACCCTGGACTCCAATCAGCGATTAATTGGACATCTTTTCCCTCTCATTTCTGGTCACAACACATCAGCCCTAAAAGAAAAGTGATGATTAAGATAGTGCCGCACCAACTGTTTGCAAAGCAAAATGTATCATTTAGTTTTAAGAAATGTACTACTAGTTCTAGATATGTACTATCAATCATATTATTGAAAATTTTCCAATCGGTGTGGTGTTTGGAGCATCCCCATACTTACATAAAGGTTAGGTCGGTTTCAGCGTTCTCAATTTTCTCTTTGCACTTGTTGGCAACTAGGGGGAAGAAGAAAATTGTCAACATATTTGAAAATTTTGATGTACTCTTGTTTTGTGGGGGTTGCTTTGAAGGGCATCGTTTAGGAAGTCATTTGCACTTCCTCCAATGTTACTGTGCATGAGAGCTGAGGGAAGGGGAGGAGGTGGGGGATGATATTTTTTTTTTTTGGTAGCTCTAGGTAATGTGGTATGTTCTTGGGTATTTTTCCTAATAGACAGCATGTACCCCTTGCACAACCTGTGCATAGTGTTTTGCTGTTGGAGTAGCAATTGTAACCAAAGTCCATTTTGTTGGCAAATGAAACATGCAGATATCTCCATGGAACTGAAGCAGATGAGCACAATTTCTCTCCAGAAGTGTCAGGAAGCGTGAAGGGTCTTGAGATGGACTCCAATATCGACAGCCCATGGCGTCTAATGTCATCTCAAGTTCCCTCAAGCCCCTTTTTGAAACCAAGAAATAATTCTCATTTTCCAGAAAATTCCCCACAGCTTCAAATTGGGCAAGCTTTTGAGCCCACGGTCAATGCTACAATGTCAAAGCAGCAGCAGCAGCAACATTGCTTCTTCAGTAGCGACATTGGCTCAATAGGGCCAGTGGGAGGGGAGCAACATTCTGTGCGGCCTTTTTTTGATGAATGGCCTAAACATAGAGAAGCATGGTCTAATCTTGATGGTGAGAAATCCAATGAGAATGCATGCTCCACCACCCAGCTATCTATCTCCATCTCAACGGCTTCCTCTGAATTCTCTCTGAAGAATGCTGGTTCCTCAGATGGTGAGTTAACTCTCGTAGGAGACTAAGCTTGTTGAATCATCACCTCAACCTCGCCTTCCAAGCAGAAATTAAATAAATAGATAAAGCTATTGGAATAAGAGTTTGAAACCTCTCTGTTCCATGTTGTTTATGCTAGGTGCAGATGCTTGAAAAGATGCTATCATAATAATCCAAGCTGTCCAAGATGCGGTTTACTAACTTGTTAGTGTACTTTTTCGGATGACTGTTGTTCGTATTCGGATTTGTGTACGTACCTTCATGTTGTTGGAACTTTATTGCTTGTTCCATGTTGGTGTTTGACATTCACTGAATCCAAACTTGATCTGTTGTACAAATGCATGCTCAAGTTCTTCATCCACAATAAAAGGTGCTTTCTACCATGTATCTGTAATGTCCTATGTTCGAAGATATGTATTTTCTGTTTGGGTACTAATTGTTGGATTTTGAAAAATATAATCAACTTTTGTAGAGAGCAACAGTGGGAACTGTTGCTAGTTATTCCATGTTTTGAGGTGTGACTGCTTTGAATTTTTCGTTTTGGTTTCTGGCAAAGTGGCTTATAACTGGAACCACAAGCTAGCATCTCAACCTTTTGACATTTGGGGGGTCTCCCAACTTTTCCTTCAAGTGAATGTGACTTGGACACTTGCAAGTAATTTAGTTATCAATTTATGTGAGTGAATACTATGAAATTTTTCTATGCTATTCTTCTAAGCAAGATTTCGTAGTTTCAATTTTGAAAATTTCTGTGAGTGAATTGCCAAATTTGAAATGGGTACATTGCTGAAAGGGTTCTTGAGTCTTTGATTGATATTCATGGTTTCAGATTGGTAGCTGATCAAGTGAAGTAGGTACTTGCAAGTGAGTAAATTTGTGTTGTTATGTTATTTGAGATTATCTTTTTATATCATTAGGTAGTCTGAACTGTGCCTCCCCAGTGCATAAGGCATTGTATGGTGCCTTCAGTACTGCTGTATAGCATATGAAGGTATAGTGTCTATATACTTAAGGGCTGTTAATCTGTTGTGTTGTGTTTTTAAACCATGTCAATCGTGGATGTTAATATTTACTCAACACATACCTAACCCATTTATAATCGTGTATAGATGAATTCGTGTTGTTTATATTGACTGGTGTTTAGCCATGTCTGTGTCAACCCATTTATTTGATGAGTATGAATGTCTGATGGGTTTACTCGTCCACCACCCCAAACTTGTTAATTCCATTTTGTGTTGTGTTTGCAGATTGTGTATAAAATTGTGAGTGCTATCTGACCTAATCATGGTTGTTTGGTTTCTTAAAAGGAGAGTGAAGCCAAGTCCTTCCTAGAAATGGGACAACCAGAACGGCTTTGGTATCTATAAGCAGTCCTCACCCTGTTTATAGAATATGACACTCTGTGAAGTTATAAGCTGCGCACAACGTTTCGAGTAAGCCACACAAAACACGCGGTTTTCAACTTCCTTAAGCTAAGCTATAAGCTGGCAACCTTAAGCTCTAGAAAAGAGAAGAAGAAGAAGAAGAAGAGGAGGGAGAGAGAGAGACAAGAATAGATTTTGGCCCACAAGTAACTTGTATGGGAACATGAATTTATTTATTTCATTGGTAAGGAAGAATCATCTCCTTCTCNGGAGGAGGGAGAGAGAGAGAGACAAGAATAGATTTTGGCCCACAATTAACTTGTATGGGAACATGAATTTATTTATTTCATTGGTAAGGAAGAATCATCTCCTTCTCATAGTCTCTAGACTTACGGCTGTTATGCAAATCTCAGATGTACATCATCACCTGTAGACCATATGCATCAGTTAAACCCGGGTTTGTGTGGNCTTCTCATAGTCTCTAGACTTACGGCTGTTATGCAAATCTCAGATGTACATCATCACCTGTAGACCATATGCATCAGTTAAACCCGGGTTTGTGTGGCCAGTGGTCGATCTCAAGACATGTTTATTCTTCGCCCCACTTTTGACCACTAAACCAACACATGCAAATTGAGAACATAAATTTCCTATCTGGGTTCCAACATGGAAACTGTAAGGCCATTTACTGAACAATTTTGTGAGGAATCTGTGTTCCTCACAGTATTTCGGGTTGTAGAAAAAGCAGGATGCTTAGGTCTTGGTAGAGGTGAAAGTTCATTGCTGATCATTGAGACGACGTTAGACATGGTGGGTCGATCATTTCGATTTTCTTGTACACAGAGAAGCCCAATGTTAATGTATCTCAACAATGTAGATGAAGAAGAATCACCCATTGATGGATCCTTCAATTCCAATGCTCGATCAGTGTTCCACAACTCCCATGCCTGTAGACATATTGAACAAATAGTTATGAGCATGTTAGTATGCTCAAAATAACATCATCAAAAGCCCAATGCTTTAAATAAAAAGGTATTTTGGTAGCTTACAAATCCAAGTAGGTTGAGAGAATCACTATTATAAAAACCAGTATTCTTCTTCCCACTCAGAATCTCAAGAAACAACACTCCAAAGCTAAACACATCGGACTTTACAGAGAAAAGGCCTTCCAGTGCATATTCGGGAGCCATATAGCCACTAAATTTCAATATCAGCTGAATGATTTTAGGTAACTGAATTTCTCTTTGTGCATCAGTATATATAATTTGTGTTTTATACTTACTATGTTCCAACAATCCGTTTTGTGTTAGCTTGCACCTCGTTGCCACCAAATATCCGTGCCATGCCAAAATCAGATATTTTTGGGTTCATTTCGCCATCTAATAAAATGTTACTGGCCTTCATATCTCTGTGAATAATACGCAGCCTTGAATACTGATGTAGATAAAGAAGCCCTTGCGCAATCCCTTCAATGATACGGATACGAGTTCCCCAATCTAACATCTCTTTCTTGTTTGGATCTGTTTATATCATTGGTGAATAAAGAGAGTTTTTATCACTTCTAAAAATCTATGAACACAGATGTAATGTATGATGGCATGGATCAAATATGGGAGCACACTCACCAAACAGGAAGAAATCCAAACTTTTATTGGGCATGTACTCATAGATCAATAGATTTTCATCTTCTTTGATGCAACACCCCAAAAGTCTAACAAGATTCCGATGTTGGAGTTTGGCAATTAGTGTTATCTCGTTTCTGAACTCCTCCAGCCCCTGTCCAGATCTTTTCGAAAGTCTCTTCACTGCTACTTCTAGTCCCCCAAGTGATATACCCTGTCAAAAAATAGAAACAAGAACAGAACACATAAGAAAAACAATCTCTCAAGTNAAAGTCTCTTCACTGCTACTTCTAGTCCCCCAAGTGATATACCCTGTCAAAAAATAGAAACAAGAACAGAACACATAAGAAAAACAATCTCTCAAGTGCTGATAAGGAAACACCTTAGCAGATACTCAGGGCACAAAATCAGGTGTGCTCTCGATAACAAAAAGAAATATTTGAAAACATCGTTGCAGACAGGGATTGTCACATTTGGCATTATTTTGTTTTTTTGGTTAAAAGATTGCTAATTGAATAATTTCCTCTTTTAGTTCAGGAATGCTAGTGAACCTCAGTTTAACTACAAATTTTACCTTGTAAACAGGTCCAAATCCTCCCTCTCCAAGCTTATTGCATTCTGAGAAGCTATCTGTTGCTTTGGAGACACTTGCAAAACTGAACAACGGTAACTCAACTTCCTTCTCCCCTCCTTTCCTTGGATTGTTTGTAGTGTTTGACTCATTGTCTGATGCATTACTGCTTAAATTAAAATCAAATGATAATAAATCTACGCCTGAATCCTTCTTCCCTGCCCATCACAGAACAGCAACAGTGTCATTTTCGTCCAAATCATAGTGAATTCCAAATGATATCGAGCAATAGATATTTTTCATGGTTTATACTAAAAGAGTTTAAACTTGTTCTCCTTGTCCATTTTCTAACAAAATGTGAATATGCATGATATGTGCCTGAATATATTTTCAAACAATATAAGGATTCTTTTCCCCTTTGATTGCCCCATCTTTAGAGTCTTGACCTCTATCAACTGCCCACACCAATTATTTGAGTTTGAGCTCTGAGATTTGGGCCTTAAAACTTTCCACTCACCTTTTTGATTGAGAATTTGCATGCGACAACATAGAAAGCTCCCTGAGAGAAGAACTGATAGAGAAACCGACACTGTTATGATCACCCAGAGTTTCATTTTGTTTCCTGAGTTCATGCAGTCAATTTCATAACTGATCTGAAGTTTAGGTAAATTCATTAGAAAGAAAAAGAAATTCTTGCTTATATCACTAATTTTATCAAATTGCAGCCACATACCTCCTGCATGTTGAAGCTCAGAAGCAGCAAGTTTCAGATAGAGATCATATTTATTGCTGTTGCGATCTGAGACTTGCTGTGAATTTAATAAAGCTCCATCCCAAAACAAGCACCCTTGATCATTATAGACATAAGCTGTGCAAGAACAACTTTGCATACAATTCGATTGACATGATTTAGCAGTTTGAGCAAGATATGATTTTGAATTAGCAGGCAATGTCATGTTTGGAATTTTTGAAAAGCTATCCTTTTGCCCATTGGAAAAAGTGCCATTTTCGCAAAGCAAAGGAATTACCCTCACACAACCAGCCGACCAACCATTTAGATTTGTATTTCCATCTGAGAATGGTTTAAAACCTTGCAAACATTCACACAACTTCGAGAAATTATTGAACATTCCAAATGCCCCACAAAGAGCATAAATCTGTAATTGTTCTNATTTGTATTTCCATCTGAGAATGGTTTAAAACCTTGCAAACATTCACACAACTTCGAGAAATTATTGAACATTCCAAATGCCCCACAAAGAGCATAAATCTGTAATTGTTCTTTAGGTTGAACAAAAGATGTACTCCAATTTGTTTCTGGAAACCCTCTAATAGATGTGAGCTGCTGGAGCTGTCCTGACATATCAATTACTAGTCTTGACAANAAAAGATGTATTCCAATTTGTTTCTGGAAACCCTCTAATAGATGTGAGCTGCTGGAGCTGTCCTGACATATCAATTACTAGTCTTGACAATATATGATTAGTAAAAAGAGAATAGGTGAAATAGGTTTCATTCTCACTTGGAGAAAGTCTGAAATTAAAGGTATAGCTAAACTCAGGAACTAGGCTTAATGTTTGTCCGGTCCAGGCTCCACTACTCCAGTACCTTTTGGACATGTTCCACTCCAAAACAAATTGGTTGATTCCATCTGGGTCTATCCCAAAAGAGAACAGACCAGTGGATGGATCTTCCTTGTTTTTCCATGAAGTGAGTAGGTTTCTGCCAGTAAGTTTATGAATTCGGAGCTTTGCACCTGGCAGCCATGTATCTGTTGGGTGGTCAAAACTTTGCCAGAATATGGTGGATGGCCTTGCACCATCTCTTAATACAAAATTCCCACTATCAAGAAGCACAGCTTCAACAGACACTGGTGTTGGTGAAATCAAATTTGTTGACCAAAACGTTCCCGAGTCATTGAACAAGACTAGATTACCATCTTCAGAGATTTCGAGTTTTGAGGCAGATGATTTAAACAATGGTTTGTCTCTGTTTGCTACCCAAACTATGGTATGAGAAAAATTCTTGTACCATATGCCAAGATACATGTTCTGAGAAGTACCTGGCGTGAAGAAACCCAATTCAAAAATGCCATCTGGAGATTCTATGATCTGGCNTACCATATGCCAAGATACATGTTCTGAGAAGTACCTGGCGTGAAGAAACCCAATTCAAAAATGCCATCTGGAGATTCTATGATCTGGCTTTCTGAGAGAGTTTGCCCGGGTGAAAGAGTGTCACCTTCAATGGACACACAAGACTTAAATGCAGTGAATTGAAACAGAACACAGATGAAGAACCATGACCCTGTTATTGTGTTACCGATGTCCCTCCCAACTGGCCTCATCTTGGATATGTGCATTGCCAAAAATGATGATGAAAACAACCTAGGAGGACATAAATGTAAAGGATACTATGTGGAGGAAAATTTCCATTTGACTTTGGGTCAACCATGTCTGATTTTTCTCCTCTTGACAATTCAACATGATATTTCGACGGAAGAAGAAGATAATCATAGTTGAATGGAAGGTATAAACTTGAATATTCAACGGGGACAAACAGAAAAAGAAACAGCAGTCTCATGCAGCTAAAATTGTTGCAATTAGCAAAAAATGACGAGAGACTTGCTTCTCTCTCTCTCTCTCAAATTTCCACCTTGCTGTACATTNGCTAAAATTGTTGCAATTAGCAAAAAATGACGAGAGACTTGCTTCTCTCTCTCTCTCTCAAATTTCCACCTTGCTGTACATTTGAGAGTATAAATTGAGATTTTTTATTTTTGAGAGTGCAAATTGATATTTGAACGATCTTTTGGAGTGCAATTTGTGATTAACTCAATTTTTTAGTCGGAAGAAATCATGTTTTTTTAACGATTGTTTTAACAGATATCAATGACAAGGGATTACGTGTTACAAGTACACAAACGTCAGAAGGTATAAGAGTAATATTTAAAATGTGAGGGATATTAAGTGACAAACTTAAAATGTCTAGGTGTAACTTACCCAACTAGTTTTAGACGCACTGTTTGCTATAGTTGCACTTTGATAGAAATTTATATATTTGATGGTGTAAATTGAAATTTTTTATTTTTAAAAGTACAAATTAAAATTCAAGAGATTTTTGGGGTGCAATTTATGATTAACTCTATTTAATGTGAAATTTGGCCAAATGTTGAATCAAATAATTTTTAAGAGCAATTCCAACTCAACTCTCTATTCTATTTAAAATATATTAAAATATTATATTCTCTATTTTATAGAGTCACTTATACAAATTCATTTCAATCAAGTTCTCTATTTTTAACTAATTACTTCAACTACCTTCCAATAATTTAAATTGAAATTATTTAAACCAAGAGAGAAGAAAGAGTGGGAATAAACGGGAGAGGGTGCTCGCTAGATTTGGAGAGACAAAAAAGTGAAATGGAAAATAAGGAGCAGGATAGAGAGAGTTTTTGGTATTTGGTTAGATAAAATAGCTAAGAAAAGAAAAATAGAGAATGAGTTGGAATTGCTTTTAAATCATTAAATTCATACAAAATATTTTTAAGGCATTAAGGATATATCAGTTATTCTTTTTTTATTCTCTAGTCCGATCTAATTTAATCTCTTGGTTCTCTCTCTCTCCTCCCTAACCAAAACGTCCTCAAGACTAACCCCGTCGTAACAAATATCCCCTCTACAACAACCTCCAAGAACAACAACGCCGCCGCCGCCAAATAATAGTAACAACGGCAATAGCAACACCAAGAACTAGAACGACAATGTTCCGTAACTGTCTTCGCGAACTCGAGCTACCGAAGATCCGAATTCGTCGCAGCAAAAACATAAAACGCACCTCGGGTCGGGTTAATGAAGACGCAGCTAATGGGGCAGTGAACAACACATAAGCTTGAATAGCACAAACGCAACTGATGGGCAGTGTAAGTCCAGATATGTGCTTGTTTCCTTTTGGTTCAAGGCATGTTGTGTGCAGTTTTTTAGGGATCGTGGATCTTCTTTTTGTTCGATATATTCAATTAGTTCAAATTCAATATTTAAGATTTTGCATATTTCAACATTAAGTAGATTTGGTGTTTACGACAATGGTAGTTGCGACGGTGGGTGGTGATGGGTAATAGTGGTGGTTGTGGGTGACAATCGGTAATTATTGCTTTTGAATTCATTGTTTTTCGTTGTTTTTAAGTTCAGTAATCTTTTATTATTTTTAAATTTACTATTTTTCATTGTTTTTAAGTTTAGTAATTTTTTCACTATATTTTAAATCAATAATTTTTCACTGTTTTTAAGTTCAGTAATAGTTCACTATTTTTTATTATTCTTGAATTCACTAAATTTCATTGTTTTTTGAGATTCACTGTTTTTTAGTTTATTATTTTTCACTATTTTTGAGTTTCACTATTTTAATATTCACTAAATTTCAATATTTTTGAGTTTTATTATTTTTGAGTTCACCAATTTTTCATTGTTATGGGTTATGGCGATGATGGCCGACAGTGGTGGGTGGCGTTGGTGGTTGGTGGACGGCGACAATAATAATAGTGTTGACATTGGTGGTGGCGGGGTGTGTGGGTGGTGGGTTATGGTGATAGGTTTTGGATGGTGGATGGTGGTAGTTGACAGCAATGGATAGCGGTGGTGGTAGTCATGGAAATGGTGGTAGTGATAATGGACGATGGTGGCAGTGGGAGGTGGTGTGTATTGGGTGATGGTGGTAGTAGTTGGTGGTGGTGATGAATTGTGGTGGGGATAGTGGGACGATAATAATGATAATAAATATAAAAATAGGATAATGGTAGAGGTAGAGGTTTTTAGATAAATTCATTCATTAAGGATATTTTTGTCGATGTTTGATTTTATAGACTTTTGGCCTTAACCAAATTAAAACTTGGACCTAAAGCCAAAAAAATTTCAGAGTGTGTACTTGCCACCAAATCTCCCTTAAAATTTTTAATTTGTACTTTCAAAAATTAAATTTATCACATTATACCCTTAATTTATTACAAATATTGAAATGTGGTCTTTTCATTAACTCCTATTTCTTATTCCGTCAAACATGAACATATTGACATTGATAGAGAGTAAGGAAAATTAATANTTTAAGGCATTAAGGATATTTCAGTTATTCTTTTTTTATTCTCTAGTCCGATCTAATTTCATCTCTTGGTTCTCTCTCTCTCCTCCCTAACCAAAACGTCCTCAAGACTAACCCCGTCGTAACAAATATCCCCTCTACAACAACCTCCAAGAACAACAACGCCGCCGCCGCCAAATAATAGTAACAACGGCAATAGCAACACCAAGAACTAGAACGACAATGTTCCGTAACTGTCTTCGCGAACTCGAGCTACCGAAGATCCGAATTCGTCGCAGCAAAAACATAAAACGCACCTCGGGTCGGGTTAATGAAGACGCAGCTAATGGGGCAGTGAACAACACATAAGCTTGAATAGCACAAACGCAACTGATGGGCAGTGTAAGTCCAGATATGTGCTTGTTTCCTTTTGGTTCAAGGCATGTTGTGTGCAGTTTTTTAGGGATCGTGGATCTTCTTTTTGTTCGATATATTCAATTAGTTCAAATTCAATATTTAAGATTTTGCATATTTCAACATTAAGTAGATTTGGTGTTTACGACAATGGTAGTTGCGACGGTGGGTGGTGATGGGTAATAGTGGTGGTTGTGGGTGACAATCGGTAATTATTGCTTTTGAATTCATTGTTTTTCGTTGTTTTTAAGTTCAGTAATCTTTCATTATTTTTAAATTTACTATTTTTCATTGTTTTTAAGTTTAGTAATTTTTTCACTATATTTTAAATCAATAATTTTTCACTGTTTTTAAGTTCAGTAATAGTTCACTATTTTTTATTATTCTTGAATTCACTAAATTTCATTGTTTTTTGAGATTCACTGTTTTTTAGTTTATTATTTTTCACTATTTTTGAGTTTCACTATTTTAATATTCACTAAATTTCAATATTTTTGAGTTTTATTATTTTTGAGTTCACCAATTTTTCATTGTTATGGGTTATGGCGATGATGGCCGACAGTGGTGGGTGGCGTTGGTGGTTGGTGGACGGCGACAATAATAATAGTGTTGACATTGGTGGTGGCGGGGTGTGTGGGTGGTGGGTTATGGTGATAGGTTTTGGATGGTGGATGGTGGTAGTTGACAGCAATGGATAGCGGTGGTGGTAGTCATGGAAATGGTGGTAGTGATAATGGACGATGGTGGCAGTGGGAGGTGGTGTGTATTGGGTGATGGTGGTAGTAGTTGGTGGTGGTGATGAATTGTGGTGGGGATAGTGGGACGATAATAATGATAATAAATATAAAAATAGGATAATGGTAGAGGTAGAGGTTTTTAGATAAATTCATTCATTAAGGATATTTTTGTCGATGTTTGATTTTATAGACTTTTGGCCTTAAACAAATTAAAACTTGGACCTAAAGCCAAAAAAATTTCAGAGTGTGTACTTGCCACCAAATCTCCCTTAAAATTTTTAATTTGTACTTTCAAAAATTAAATTTATCACATTATACCCTTAATTTATTACAAATATTGAAATGTGGTCTTTTCATTAACTCCTATTTCTTATTCCGTCAAACATGAACATATTGACATTGATAGAGAGTAAGGAAAATTAATAAAAGAATCATATTGCAATATTTTTAATATATTGAGGGTGTAATATAAAAAATTTAATTTTTTAGAATACAAAATAAAAATTCATAAATTTTTTAGTATTACAAATACAATCATCTTTTTTTTGCTTGTAAATTAGAGCGTAACAATTATTGTTGAGCAAATAATTACGGTTGTTGATTTGTTGAACAATCATGAAGCCTTTGAAAATTTTTAATGGGTAAATTGTACTAATGGTCCCTAAGGTTTATCACTTATTACATTTTCATTAATTTCGTCAATTTCATCTTCCATATTAACATATTGATTCACTTTGGTCCTTACCCCTAACGACCGTTCAAATAACAGACGAAAAATATCACGTGCCTCGCACATGGGAATGTTAATGGGTGATTTTGTCATTGTGCATTCAAAATATAGGGCAAAAATGGAAACTCAAAATAAGTCTAAAGAACAAAAAAACCACCATTACTCGCCACACTACCTCTTCCCCACACTCCCAGTAGTCCCCTAATTCCAGCAATTTGTAACACTCTGCATTTTCTTTTATATATGTATATAGATATATAGTATATAATTGTGGTAAAAAAAAAATGTGGATATATGTAGTGATGTGTGTTTGAGTTTGGTAGATTGGAAAAATAGAGATTTAAAATGTTTGTGAAAATAATAGTTGAAATTTGGTTTTAATAAGTGAAAATA